TGCAGAAATAGAAGTATAATGATGTACACCTGAAATTTAGACAATGTTATAAACCAATGTTACTGCAATAAACAAAAAATTAAAAAAAAAGATATTACTACTTTTAACTTATTTCAAACAATGATGAAATTACACTCCTGCCAATATTTCTGCATTAGGGAATTGCAAGTAAGTCAGTGGAGCATGTGGAGGCTGGCAACGTAAGAATGGCTGTTCTACTTTTTTCTCTTTCTCCTTCTTTTTGGCTTCTAATTTATGGTTAGGGTTTGCATAGAAGAAACACAAATGGGAATTCTATCCAGGGAATAATCCCTTTTGAGGAAATATAAAATTCAATTTGAGTTTACATTTGTGAAAATTAATTCTTGGAGTTGGACTAAGTTCTGATACGTAATCATCTCTGATTTTCAGATAGGTGCGTCTCTTTTTGCCGCGAATATTGGCAGTGGCCACTTTATGAGCCTGGCTGGGAAAGGAGCGATGTCAGGGATTGCTGTTGGGGCCTTCGAGTGGAATGTAAGTGATACCTTTTGCAGCAACTAACCTTCACCTTTATTGTTGTCCAGATCAAATTCATAAACATAAAAACTTGCTCCCAATGCTGAGTAAATATTAAAGACTTCTTGAGAAGTCATGGAAGAAAGGACCCAAGTTTTTGATTTCTCAAAAAGATTGTGCTAGTTTTCATTCTTCTTGGTAAATTAATGAAGAGAGAGAATGTTTACATTTCAAGGAGCATAGGAATACAGTGAACAAAGAACTGTTAGGAAGCTAGTAACATAGGGTAAAGATCATATTAATATTTAAATATATGTGTGTGTATGTATGTGTGTGTATATATATGTATGTATATGTGTGTGTATATGTATGTGTGTATATATTTGTGTATATATATTTGCAGTATATATTGAGGATGGGCTCAACTGAGTTCTTTGAGATATTCAACTAGTTACTACAAAACTCCTAATTGGTCTTCTAGGAATACCAAGTCTCAACTATAAAACTTATAAAATGGATTATTTATTCAATCTGTGGAATATATCTTTTGTAGGACTATAGAATTTGTTCACCTAAATTATAAGTGAATTTATAATTCTTGAGTTAATTAACGTATCTCTATATAAATCATCTGGCTTTTTTTTGGATAAATCAGAAAGCTTCCTACTTTCTGAGTCTCATCTTTCTTCTTATAGACTACAAAAATAAAGAATACTTCTAGCAGAGTCAGTTCCAAATCTAAGAAGAAGTCCTGGTCTTTACCATCATTTACCTCTCAGAATTTACTGGCATCTCATTCATATATTCAACTTACGTACCCCTTCTTTGTAAAGAAAGCCAGAGCCAAATTTATTACTTAATTTCATTAACTTGTGTGAAATTTTTGTATAGTTTCTCTCTCATTTCTCTGAATGGTTTCTGATTTTCATTTTTTTCACTATCTTTTATATTTAATTATAAGACACCTTCATTCCCATCTGGAAGTAGGAAAACAATAAATTAAAAATAAATACCTTGAGAGGCCAGCCCAGTGGCCTAGTGGTTAAGTTTGCGTGCTCCGCTTTGGCGGCCTGGGGTTCACAGGTTCGGATCCCAGGTGTGGACCTACACACTGCTGATCAATCCATGCTGTGGTGGCATCCCATATACAAAATAGAGGAAGATGGGCACAGATGTTAGCTCAGGGCCAATCTTCCTCAGCAAAAAGAGGAAGATTGGCAATGGGTGTTAGCTTAAGGCCGATCTTGCTCACAAAAGAATAATAAAATAAAAAAATAAAAACATTAAAAATAAATACCTTGAAAATTGTCTCAGTTAATCCCCCTGAATTAAAAATACACCTTTTTATTGGCAAAGATCAAGTGCCTCTAAGTCAAGTTCGTTGTACTGGAAGGTGTCTGCTGGGCTGTTATTTGTAAGGTCCCGGGAGTGATACATTTGTGAAGCTCAAAATAGATAGTAACTGAGCTTGTGGCTCATTTGAGGGCTTGGCCTAGATGGGACCTTGATCTAAGTGTTCTTCTTCTTCTTGGTTTCAGGCTCCACTTTTGCTCTGTGTTCTTGGTTGGATATTTTCTCCTATTTATGTTAAAGCTGGGGTGAGTGTCCATTATCAGTTACTCTATTCTTTACAGTATTTTTTCTTACAAATACTGCATGTGTACATAAAAACACCCTGGAGGACAAGTTAAACTCAGTCTTTTGATCCTTGTACTGACTTCCCTGAATACTGTGAAATGCCTGAAATAACATCATTCTGCCCTGGGTAGACAGACGCCAGTAACTGCCTGCTGTTTCACGCTGGACCTTACTCAAGAGTTCACCT